CAGTGCTTTTGCAGTGATGGACACTGGAACAACTTCGACTTCGAATCCCTTACCAGCCGAGCAATCTTCCGTCGAGTCCTCTGAAATGAAAAGCGAAGTCACTCACGTTTCCGACTCAGAAGAGGAACAAACTCAAGAAAAAATTCATCCATTCCATCCAGATCGAACGGCATCTCACTTAAGTTTATCTGCTCAAGACAATCACGCTGAAGATTACGAAGATTACGAAGAAGATCAGGAGGAGGAGGAGGAGGCTCAAGATCAAGATGAAAACAACTCTGATTATCACATTTCAACCCGACAAGAATCAGAATCCAGACTTCAGGCATTCATCGCTTCTCTCACACCTGATTTGGATCTACCCTTCCCACCTGATTTCAATATCCCCTTCCCTCTTGATCCTTCTCAAGCCGAATTCGAATTCCCGGACCTACCACCACCAATTGATCCTTCTACTGATTACTGCCTCAACATGCCACCAGGAAATTTCTCTCCAGTAGCCGGCGCTCAACCTGTGGTCGATGATCTTTACTTGAATCTCAACAAAGCCAGTTGTCCAGCTGACAATCCTTCCACCGCGACTAACCATTCAATCTTACCACCTGATTACAATCCAGTACCAGAGTTGGAGTTCAACAGCGGAAATGAAGACATCCTAGACGAGCACATCCCAGACAAGCAACCAACTCAAACCACCAAAAAGCCCAAGAAGAAACGCCGTGCGGAAGCCTTGCTCACAGCCGAGGAAATGGCTCTTGATTCTGGAAGCGACGACAATTTGCCAACTCAAACCACCAAAAAGCCCAAGAAGAAACGCCGTGCAGAAGCCTTGCTCACAGCCGAGGAAATGGCTCTTGATTCTGGAAGCGACGACGATTCGGAAATCCTTGGCCCTTCCAAGAAGAGGATGAAGCAATCACAACCCCAGTCCCGCAAGTCCACCGGCCCCAACAAAACCATTGTCTCCCGCCCGATGGATCCTCTTCCTTCTATCGATCCATCGGCAGTTCGTACGAAGGACTTCAAGAATCCTATCGCTGTTGCACTGATGACTAGCAGCCATGATAGAAATAAAGAGATCAGATCTAACAACATCTGGCGTCGCAACTTAGAGATGATGAAGCGAAAAGAGGCTGCTGACGCCAAGGTAATCAGAAAGCAAGAAGTACAAGCCGCGAAGCTATTTGAACAGCAAAAACTTGAGAAGGAGCATATACAAGCACAAATTGTTGAACGTAGCAAATTCGCTCAAAGCCTTATTTTATCTGGCAAATCTCCTCAAGAAGTTACAGATTACCTTGCTGCAGTATTTCCTGCCTTTGGAACCGATTCTCTTGCTGTTGCCTCATCTGAACAATCGTAAGTGTATCTATTTATCTATCTTCTACTGAATCAAGTTTACTGATTTCCTATTTTCCTCATCTTCCAATCATCTCACAGGACATCTAAACAAGTCCTTAATTAATTCGATTCTGTAGGCTTTCAACAATCAATTGAAGAAAACGAACTTTTCAATCTTTCTTGACCATCCATCAAATCAAAGAAATCGAATTAAACTTTTCAATCTTTCTTGACCATCCATCAAATCAAAGAAATCGAATTAAACTTTTCAATCTTTCTCGACCATCCATCAAATCAAAGAAATCGAATTAAACAAATCAGTCATGTAGACTTCAAGCTTATCAAACAAATCAAATCAAACAAATCAAATCAAACAAATGAAATTAAACAAATGAAATTAAACAAATCAAATCAGTCATCTAGACTCAAGATTCCTTTTTAAATCTTATTTCCATCCCCTTTTATTTTCTTTTTTATGAACTGAGTTCAAGTCCATTTTTATGTATTCCTTTTTCTTTTCTTACTTCTCAAGTTGATTGGACTGAGTCCATTTTTATGTATTCCTTTTTCTTTTCTTACTTCTCAAGTTGATTGGACTGAGTCCATTTTTATGTATTCCTTTTTCTTTTCCTACTTCTCTAAGTGATTTTTATGAAAGTT